CCGTGCCTGCCGCGCCTCCCGCCCCACCGTGCCTGCACCGCGCCTGCACCGCGCCTGCACCGTGCCTGCACCGCGCCTGCACCGCGCCTGCACCGCGCCTGCACCGCGCCTGCACCGCGCCTGCACCGTGCCTGCACCGCGCCTTCACCGTGCCTGCACCGCGCCTGCACCGCGCCTGCACCGCGCCTGCACCGTGCCTGCACCGTGCCTGCACCGTGCCTGCACCGCGCCTGCACCGCGCCACCTGACAGTATATCCGCCCCGTCCATGTCATGTCTTGGACACCTTCCAGTGCCTGCCTAGCAGTGCCTTGCAGTGCCGGACCGCCGGTTTCCCACGTGCTGCCGCAGCAGCATCGCCAGCCCCGTGGCCGTAAAGGCGGCCAAAAAGAAGGCAGGCGCCTCGCTTGTGCCCGGCCGACACGCGAAACGGCGCGTACCGCGTCAAACAGCAAGAAGCTCTTTTTCGCTCCTCCTGCTCATTACTGTGTATTTTATCATAAATCAGTATGGTTAGTTTAGCTTGATTGAACTGAAGTGTCTCGTGACAGCTTGTCTGCGAGTGTAAACTGGGTTCGAGGTACCGGCATTTTTTGGAAAGGCGACTTTTTTCCCCGCCGCTGGTCGCGGAACAGACACACAGGATGTGGTGGCGCCTTTGCAGTGCGTTGCCTGGCTTTGCCTCGCTTTGCCCTGCCGACGCATCGCTGCGTCAACTCGCCGAGTGTGGCCTGGGCTTGCCTGGGCTTGCCTGGGCCCCACTTGGGGCAGGAAACGGCCAGACCGCTACCATTTTCCAATCGCTGCGCTTGGAAGATGCCGCTGACGTAACATCCTCCCCTGACCGCGCGAACGTAAAAATAAAAACACGAACGTTTGCCGCGATTTTTGTGTGACCTGGACTCCTGTTTGGAAGGCACTGGAAACGCCAGGCTGTGGGTCGCGGCCGCAAGGGCCGCCACGCAAACCCTCGCCGTCGAGACTGTCGTTACTCTAGACACGCTCTATTCGCACGCGACGCACGCGAAAGAGCGTGCTATACGCACGGCGTTCATCGCGATAGCAGCAAAGGGTACGTCCACTCCGCAGAAAAATGTTGACGAGCCTCGGCCCTCCAGAGGGAAGGGGTCGAAATCTGCAGCATGGCCTCGTTATCGCTCCGACACCCAACGCAACGCCTTGGGCCGCTGGGGCCGCTGCAGCGTCAATGGCACGGCACGCGCGTCAGGAACAAATTCCCCGGACGTCCATTTTCCAGAGGGCCGCGTGCGAGGCGGCAGGCTGCCTGCGTCTCCGTCACTGCCGCACGCAGCCCTAGGTGCGACGGAGAGCGCCGGCCGCCCAGCGGCGGGTCCAGCCACTCCTAATTAATTGGTTGACGCTGTCCTATCGCGTCTCGTGACCGGGCACGCCGGGCACGCCGGGCACCAGGCCACGCCAGCAGCGCCAGCAGCGTGGTCTCCATCAGCGGGGCGAGGATCTGGCCGTAAAACTCGTCCAATTTGACAAAACCCGACTTTCCAGAGCTACCGTGGAATTCGTGTCGTGTGTCAGTCTGGCCGGCCCCTGTGTGTGTGTGTGTGTGGGGGGGGGGGGCTCCCGCCGAGACGGGCCGAGCCAAGGCGCCCAAGGGGCGCAGGTTTCTGCTTCATTGGGCATCGTCAATAAGAGTGAACGAGCACGGCCTCGTGCCGAACGGGGGCCCATGTCCGAGTTTTGCTATCATATCGGCCACTTTCCTCATAAAACAGTGTACGCGGCCGTGGTCGCTAGGACGGCCCGGCTTCTGTCTGCGTCTCCCTCCGAGTCCCCCTTTGCCGTGCGGTAAAAAATAAATCGCGAACCTCAGATGCAGCATTCTCTCCTCGACGGCGCGCGATTCCGCCCTCCTCTGTCATTACCACGTCCTCGCGCTGCTCGCGATCCCCTGAGGGTGTTTCGCGACCCCCTCCCCCTTCCTCGCCCCTGGCCTCTTCCCTCCTTCCTTGGTGCCGAAGACGTCCCCAAGCCGCGATCTGGATAAAAGTTCAGAAAAAGAGAGAGACAAAGTGAGGTGGGAAAGGCAGAAGCGCTCGAAAAAAAAAGTATCGCGTTTCGCGAATATTCATCCATCACCCCGCAGCGTGCGGTCATTGCGCAGATCTGTTTACGTAGCGAAGCTGCCGTCAACAAAGGTGACCTCCCTCCTGCCTTCCCGTTTTTTGCATAATTTTCGCTCCCACCGCGGAAAAAAAGCGCAACATGCAAAAGAGACGTTTTCTGCCGCATTATCCGGACGTGGGTCGAGTGGGGGTGACCCCGCAGTGAATAATGTGGAAATGGATACAAATGACGTGGCCAGGAATACAAAATGGGGCGAGATAATGTGTTCGCACTTTTTTGCAGGGAAAATATTTGGGTAAGAAGTGGCAGTCTTTTAGCGTCTTATTGATGCACAAAGGACGAGCTCCTGGCGATATTGAGATAGCCGATAAAGAGCGCCTAACTTAAGTTTTTTTACTTGAAAAAGTGTTTTACGTGCCATTTTTTGACGTCCTGCCATCAATAAACGTCCCTAGCTCCGTCTTTGTGTGACTCAAGTGCTTCTTCTCGGCACGTTGTTTCAGCGACCACATGCGGCGACGCCAAAATCGGCCAAATTTACCGTTATTTACAAAAGGCACACTTGGGTCGGCCTTTTTTTCCGGCAGAGACGACGTGGCTGCCGCGCTCGGCTCTGGCTCTTGAATTTGCACTCAAATGTGGCATTTGCAAAACGATGGGAAAGTAGTGCAACAAGGAAATCAGTGAGAGCTGAACCTGACCCCTTGCGGAACGGTGTGGTGACGTTCGTCCGGTCTGGCGCCACTGTCAGAACAAGGCCGAAAGAAGTAATTTCTATTGAAAGTAACGTCTACTCTGTGAAAAATTTCGTACTTATCGGTGTTTGAGATGACTGGTGAGGTTTGCCCTTGTTGTAACGATTTTCCACACTCCCTGCACGGCTCGTATTTGCACCTTTCCTGCGAATGGCACGCCACAACTCTCTCGTTAAAAAAAGGTACCGCGTTCCCCAAAATCAGAGGGCCAATGGTTGCCTCTATTTTTTTTCTGTGCAATTAGAAACACCGTGTACTTGGCGAAAGGTTGGCGGAAATTGTCCAGTCATCTTGCACTCGAAAGGAGACGAAAGGTGATCGATGACTGTTTTTGCAACGGCGGTACACTCGCGCGGTGTGAGAATGGGACGGGGCCAGCCCGAGGGCCGGGCAGGGGTACTGACGTGAGGTGGGACATCCTGGATTCCGTTCGCGTTTCACCTCGAGGGCGAGCTTTGTTTCTGCGGGAGTGTGTAGGGCGTTGCAAATTTCTGTGAAAAACCCTCTTCAGGTACCACTATTAGAATGAAATTTTCTTGGCACAGAAATATTTTTCTGTACGTGTTTGTCAGTGTACTACTTGAGGGCGTAGCTTCTGTGCAGTAATCAGTATCTATTGTCTTTCTCGACATTTCGTCCCAGCTTCCTGTAATTCCCCCCCCTCCCCCCCCTCTTTTTTTGCATTGGAGACAGTTTCCTTCCCGCTATCATCGGCGGCTCTCCTTTCTTTGATCGGCAAGGCGCTCTCGGTCCACCGCCCCACCTTAGACTCGGATTACATACGCAACTATTGCGTATCCTCCTCCATTTCATTCCTTTTTTTTTCTGCCATTTCATCCCTTTCAATCCTTTTCTTCCGCTCTGCCATAGCACGAATCCTTTTCAATTTTTTACACCAGAAAAATGTCCCCATCTTTTACATACACATTTGTTTCGAAAAATTTCGTCGTAGTTGTCTTTTTTTCCCTCTCTCATTTCCTCTGGCGACAATGCGGTCGAGCGGCAGCAGTGACGAGGCGGCGGAGGCTCAGATTCGGGGACCCCGATTTGAGGACGTTTTTTATCTTCCTGCGTTCCCCCACGTGTTTTATTCATAAATGTTTTACTTTCCCTTACTCTTTACCCCTTCTCCCTTGGCACCCCTTTCTTGGTGTTGTAAAAAATGACGCAACGGTTCACATGTAGCCCGCGCGGCTTTGTCCTGTCTACTTTTTGGCGAATGCACCTTGTATATAGGAAGATGACACAGCAGCTACTGTGTGCGCCGAAAACTTGCTTTTCATTTTACTTTATTATATTTTTGCTAGATGTGTAACCTTACTGGAAATGTCCCCAGCCGCGGTGAAGTCCATCCATCATGGTCATGGACGTTCTTGCCACATGACAAACCTGGTGCACGCGAGATGCACAAGGTCCTGGTCATCATCAACGCTGCAAAGGCCTCTGTAGCTCGTGGTGGCCACCTGGATATTTCTAGACGCAATGCGATCAACGGAGTGCGAGTCCCACCTGCTAGAGGGCGTGGTGTCATCGGCGGGCCGTTGAACAGATTGCCCACAGTGTCCACACACTCACACACCCGCTCAAGCTGAGGCCCACTCTTTCCCATGGCCGTCCGGGGCGCGGCACGCGGAGCGCACCTGAGGGTGTACTTCCGAAAGGGGCGCGCGGCACACGGTAAAAAGCGCCGGCAAAAGGCGGGCCATCCTGAGAAAGTCGGTCCGTCGCGGGGCGCGTCGGCGGGGCGTGGCGGGGCGTGGCGGGGCGTGGCGTGGCGGGGCGCCCTGTCGCTTCCGGGGCGCCGCGACGCCGCTCGGTGGGAAGCAGGCAGCAACAGGCCCGGCATCTCCGCGGGATGCGGGCTGCGCGCTGCGCGGCGTGCTGCGCGGAGGGTCGGGTCGGCGTCGGGACGGGGTCTGTCGCGGCCGCCGTCGCCGTCCTGCCGTCCACCCCTTTCGGCACTCCAACAGCTGAGCGCGCTGCTTTGGGCTCGCGCCGCTAGGAGCGCTACCGCCCGGCAGAGAGCGGCCCGGCCGGCCGGTGCGAGGGAGACGGCGGCGGCGTCGAGCCGGTCGAGCCGCGATCGGGTTGAGAGAGAAGGAGAGGCCGGCGGAGAGGGGGGCGTCGCGCGGTGTGGCTGCCGACGCGGGCGCGCCAGTCAGTCGCTGGCCGGGCGCGAGCAAGCATCGTCCGCTGTGCCAAGGGCGTGCGTGCGTGCCACGCGTGACACGGGGCGTGACGCGAGCGTGACGCGAGCGTGACGTGAAAGTGACGATGATGGCGTAGTGGCCCCAGGATGTCGACGCTCATGACGACCCCCACGCCAGGGATGGTCTCGCCGCCAGCGCCCTTCAGCCTGGACGCCATCCGCAGACAAGTGCTGCACCGGGTGGACATGCCGGGCCTGCACAAGGACGAGGACGACGACGAAGAGGACAACACCATGGCCGCGGCCACGCAAGGTGGGGCCCGAGGTGGCGCCGGCCGAAGTCATTAGTGTGTGTGTGTGCGTGTGTGTAAATGAGTGCCACTGTGGATACGGCACGACCAGTGAAGTGACCACCACCAAGTGATAGTGCAGTGATTCAAAAGTGATGAGTGTAGTGAAAATATGAAACGAGAATGGCCTGTGCCGACCCCAGCACGTCGCCGCCAGCGCTCAGTGCCCGGTGCCCTAAAGGACGTCCCTCCCTGCAAATTGAGTATAGCCTTCCGGTGCCCCGGCACTCCAGCAGTGCGACGCGCAGTGCGACGCGCAGTGCCACCAGGACTTGCTGCGGCCGGCGCGGCCGGCGTGGACCTGGACTACCTCGCCGCGCCGCGGCGGCCGGTGCTGTAGCGCTTTGGGCTGACAGCCTGCGGCCTGCCTACGGCCTGCCTACGGCCCAGCCCAGCCTGCGGTGGGTCCTGGGCTGCGCGCCGCTCGTGCAGCCACATACAAATTTATTCCGTATTATATTAGAATTTTACAGTTTGCATACATCGGCGAGTAGCCGCTTTCCGCGGCGCTCTGGGCTGCCCCGGCTCGCCGGCGGCGGCGCAGGCCCGGCATATCGTGACAATACACGGAGCGCACCCCGCCCCGCCTCGCCCCGCCTCGCCCCGCCCCGTCGGCCAATTCATCTCGAACGGCGCGCTACTTTTAGCCGAGCGCCGCCGCGGTTTTTTCCGTCTCTAGTCGCGTAATTTGGCGCGGACAGTGGTTTCCGAAATCGCGTCTCGCGAGGCTCGGACCGTGCGAAGCGAAATCCGGGCGGTGTTGTCGCCTCGCCGATGTCGGGACTGTTTACCTTGTCCTCTTCCCCGTTATCTTGGCGGGAGCCGCGTGGACGGGCCGCCGGACTAATCCTAATTTATTACGTAAAAACTGATGAAGGCCGTTTACCGGGTTCGGCCGTTCGGCCCGAAGTGGAAATCTTGGGCCCGAAGTTATCGCGGACCGATTATGAATTTATGCGGTCGTTTTGTAGAAATGCGGCGGCCGGCCGGGACGCGCCGCCAGGAGGATGCGCACTTTTTTCCCCGAATGCCCGGTCCGGGGGATTAGAGGACGTTATTATTGTCTTATTCTGCTGCATCGTTTCCAATCAACCTCTTTCCGTACTTTTTATTTATTTTCATCTTTTGGGTTCGGCCTTCCTTTCGGCGGGATCACGTTTCGCGGCCCGGCCCCGCGGCCCGGCGCAACGGCCGTCCGAGTGAGGCAACGCTTCCTCGTCTCGCGACTTTTTACCCATTGCGCTCCCCCAGAAATTGGGCAGCCTCTTTTTTGTTCAACTACTCGAATCGGGGTCGATAAGAGAATCATGCCACGCCATTGATAGCAATTATTATTTACACAACGGACGTATCGCGGCGCCGGATTCGCGTCGAAAAAATTGAGGCCGCGGGTGGAAAAAAATGGAGGGCCAAAAAAATGGGTTGATTCGGCCTCGCCTCGGGGCGCTTATCGCCACCGGCAGGGCCAATTGTGAAAATTCGCTAAAGCCTTCCGAAAGCCGCTCGAACCGCTTTCCGGAGATAAGGGCACTATCGCCCGCCGTGCGTCGCCGTGCGTACCTTCCCCTACACCTGCGGAGGCCCTGTACAGCCCTTGTTGTTTTTGTTGTTTTTGTTTGGGGAACCGGAAGTCGGCGCCTGATTTGCAGAGGGCGGGCTTTATCTTGCATTACGTATTAGAGTGATTGCCATTACGAAACGAGGCCGTCATCCGGCTGACGCGACGATTCGCCCAAATTTCGCGTCGGAAAGGTTTTTCTCTTATTGCGGCTCGCGAGAGGCGCCCGTCGCGGGCATCCCGCTAACAGGACGTACCGCATCCTGCCGTCGAAATTTCGCGACGGCGTTTCTGCGTTTGCGGGTGTAAGCTGAGAGCTCGAACACACACGCACACAGCACTCGGATCGGTTTCGGTACCGTCTCCGCCCGACCTTCGTTAACCTTCTTATTTTCAATGTTTGGTTGCCGCCCCGCCACCGGAACGGCACCGCCGGCTTTCGGCGTCGCGTCGCCCGGACGTGCCTTGCGCGGACTGAGGCCCCGCCGCCGCGGTCGTGGAGGCGTAATTTAATTCCCGCTCGAAGTGCCGCGCCCTGCATATGCATGCCGCGAAAGCAGTGCAGAAGTGGAAGAGTGTGCAATTGTGAAAATGGGGGCTACCGCGGCCTCCTGTGCGCGCTGCGCGCTCGGCCGGCTGCGCTCCACGGCCAGGGCGTCGTCGGGGTCATACTGCTGTTGTGTCTTCGCGACGCCCGGACAATGAGTTGCCTCCGAGGTGGCCGTCCAACTCAGCGACACGAGGTCCGCGATGAACGACAAACAGGTCGCGATGGTCTGGAGGCGGCGAACCGAGCGCACCGGACCAGCATGGTCCACCTTCCTCGTTTTCGAAGTGAAAGTAATTTCCCCTCGAACTGAATCGGAACCCTAGTGTTTTTGAAAAACAGGGTCGCCTCATGAGCATTTCCACGAGTGTAATTTGGTGAGGGACGGGACGGAAATGCGACGAAATTATGAACGCGTGATTTCTCATCCAGACTTTCAGCGGAGTGCCCTCTGGCGGTTTCACAGGGTGGTTGCATAGCCTCTCAAGTTCAAGTTCAAAGATATGCCACTCGAGGGTGGGTTGGGTTGCCTACTCGAGGCTCGCAGGCGCTGTGCGGGTCGCCTACTGCGGGGCTCGCGGGGGCCCCGCGGGGCACTCCGAGACCGTGGCCGCTGCCCGCGCTGAGCAGTATGCCCGTCCACGGACGCCTGTCGAGGAGCGGGGCCGCGTCTTCGTATGGAAAACACGGCGTCGCCTTGCGATCAAGTGCCTTTTTGAAGCGAAGAATCCTTTTCTTGGTTTCGGCCATTCTTCGAGTGCTCATTTGTAGGCCGGTCAAGTGTCCCCGCGTGTGAGGCTCTGTGAGCAGTGTGTGCCCGCGGCCACGTTCGCCGGTCGTGGCTTGGCCCCTCAGATCAGCATCGTCGTCCACCTGATGGACCGGATGACTTCAGTCCTGATAAAGCTCGAGTGCAATCAAGAGTTCGAGTGGCGAGTTATGTGGAAAGGCGATTTGGCATGTCGACACAGTCACCAATACCTAGAACCCATACTCGACACCCACATGCTCAGGATGACTTTGCGGTACAAAACTCAATGCTCATCGTCGGGGGTATTTCTCCGGAATCACTATCAGAGGAGCAGATAGCGGAAGGCTGCTTACTTGAGGCTCGATTGGTTATCCCAGTTTATGACAAAGATGTTAGGGGCCCCGGCAACGTGCGCGTGGATGATAGCGTCCGCTTGGTCGGTTCAGATTTGTGTTTCTGCGGCAAACTAACTGGTTGGTTGCCGGATCTTGGCAGAAACGGGGTCGCGCGCTGCATGTGTGGACACAGCGCTTCCTGAGAGCGAACGCGTAAACCGCCACCACAACGCACATGACGCGGGGCCGCTATCTCTCAAGTGTTTGTGCAGCTTGTAGAGGATTTGGGAATTGGTATACATCACACAGCACATTTCGAGGCGGCGCGGCGCGTTTTTCGTTTTGTATCGTCATTCCTGAGTGAAAAGGAGCTCTCCTGGCAGATAGCGGTGCGGGTGGGGTTACTTCGTCGGGGCGGCGGAGTGTCTCTCGAGAGTGCACTCCTTGGTGTCGGCCGCGACGACGACGCGGAGGCCGCCAGAGTGGAGGACGCCGTTGACGCATCTCTGCGCGGTCCCGGACGAGGTCCCGAACCTGCCCCACGCGAGGGGTGGCCGCGGGCCGGCCTGCCTCGCCCCACCGCCACCCCGTGCGCGCCCCTGCCTCCCCTCCGCCCCGCCGCGGCCTCCGCGCGTTCCCCGTTCTGCGGAATTTCGCAACTTGTTGATCAGGGGGCTCGCAGTGTGCTGGCAGTGCTCCGCGGCTCCCTCCGCGGGCCTCTGGCCGCCTGGTTGTCCCGGCCGCGCTGTGCCCCCCCATCCGCCCATCCGCCCAGCGAATCTGCCGAGGGCGGCGGCCCGGTTGGCGACCGCCCTGTCGTGTGCACTGTGCGGCCCGCCGCCGTGCCGCGCTAGTGTAGTGTGGTGCTTATGGTAATGTTTGCCGAGGCAGGATAGCGAAGCGGACGCGCGCAAAAAAGCGCTTTGCGTCTCAGGCGGCGAGCGGGCGCGTGCGGAAAGCGCGAGGAATATCGGCGGATTCCGTAAAGGAGTCTTTTCGCTGCTCTCTCGCACTCGTGGGGCGTCCCGCGGCTGTGCGAGAGAGACAGCGGACCGGCTGCTCCAGCAGCTCCGCGGCGACCCCGCCGCAAACCAGGGGGTGATGTACCGACCGCCGGGGCCCGCCTGCGACTCTAGCACCCCTTCCCCTGCAGGGCCCCTGCCTGCCCCGGCGTGGGGGGCGCGGAGGGGGGAGTCTAGCGGTTGTGTAATGGACGTGCAATTGCCTGTGTCGTTTCGCCCCCTTGTGTCTGGGACGACACAGCCACGGCATTGCAGCGGGCTTGCCAAAGTTTCGGTCGAACTTCAAACATCAATATTTTTAGTGGCGGCCATCGAGCGGCGGTGTGGGGTGGGGCGCAGGGCCGCGCTGAGGCTGGCACGCCGATGCGAATGCGCCGCTGCAAATACACCGGCAGGGCAGAAAGGGCACGGTCGGCCGCTCCACTGTCTTTTGTCTCCGGCTTGGCCATTTTTTCGGCGGCCGCGGCGTCAGCCCTTGACGCCGCCAGGGCGCGCTGCCGGCCGTCTAGCCTAGCCTAGCCGCGGCGGGGCCGAAAAGCGAAATTACCGAAAGGCCGCGTGGGGACGGCGGCACGGGGTAGGGGCGCCCCTGGGGGGCCGTGCTGGCCGTGCTGGCCGTGCTGTTGAAGGGGGCCCTGCCGCCCCGCCACCCGGCTTCCTGTTGTCCCGTAAATTACCAATGAGCCATTAGCGGCACTCGCCGCCCTTTGTTCTGGCCGGGCGACAATAAAATTATTTTCGGTAGATATG